CCACAATACTGCGCCCTTGTGACAAGCTTGTCACAGCGATTCATGCAAATAAAAAATTCGTCCTGGTTTTATGATTATCATTTGACTAAATTTTTAACTGTGTATAATAATAATCTCGCAGTATTAATTGTAACGTAAATTTAATCAGTAAAGCGGCTTATCTTTTCCGTTATCGTAAACAATCTTTCCAAAAACAACAAAATGTCGTTATATACTGGTTCGTCAAATGCCAGCTTTTAGCAGTATTAGCTCAATAAGAAAAGGGACAAGTTCTGTGTAAGCAGATATGTGTAACCATTACTCCTTATTTTTTCGGAGATATTCTTAGGAGTAGTTATGCGGTCCCAGAACGAATGTCGGATTGTTTCTTTTATCGAAACTTGTGGTGGGACAAAGGAGAATTTAGCGAAAAAGCAAAGTGGGAAGAAGTAACGTAAGTCTCTTTTCCTACTTGTTTGACGTTGATATTTGTTTTAGCTAGTGGCTGATATAAATTGTTGTTCATATACAAGATTACCTTATGTGCTTGCTAAAGGGATCGCCATTGATGATTATGAAGAACGTGTAGAAAAGTTCAATATTCACAGATGTTGGGAGTGGTTAAACGGAGAAGTCTTAATCTATGAGTTTCCTTCTATGTCACACGAAGTTTGCATCGGTGCAATTATTAATCAAATAAATAACCAATGCATTAATGCTTATGGAACTGATGCCAGGATTCGTTGTGCTGGTTCTACTAGTAAGTATTAATGTCACAATATTTCTCTATTTGTAGCATTGTATTAATTTTTATTTCTTAAAGAAACACGTGACAGAAACCGTGGAAAAGAAGCCGATGCATCGTTTCGTCCAACAAAACCTGCTGTAACTGCACCAAATGGGAGCAATGGAGATGTAATTTCTGTTCTTTTTGTTTGTTTGAACTTTTTAAAGCTAGTAATTTCATATACCTTTTTATTTAGAATCGCCCTTGGCCAAATTTGGTCGTGGAAGTAGCCTATACTGAAACATTGGATCACGCTGAGGAAGCTTTGAAATATTGGATGAGTCCTGGTCGTGCCCACGATTGTATTATCGTAAAAATCGACCCAGTTTCCCAAGACCGAGTACCAGTCCGTATGAGAGTAAGTTATATTTATACAGTATAGCAATCATATTATTTGTATAACATTCATTTTAATTAATTGTAGGCTTGGCATTACTGTGTCTCAGCAGGTAGAGGAACAAGAAATACAGTTCCTCTTGTAACTACGGTAATGTTAGACTATAGTAGTTTGTTTTAACATTAAAAATCTCTAACGTGTGTAATAATTATTAGTTTGAATTTGGAACCCAAAATGGCATGGGAGTTCCATTAACTATTGCACAAGGTCAATGCATCATTAACATATCGTTAAGCTGTCTTTATCATGATTTTAAGCAACCGGATCCTCCTGCACCTCCTATACTCTCTTACCTGATCCTATTCCGTTGGACTTTTTTTTTGTTCAACAAGATATTAGAGAAATGTTTAACTATTAGAGGAATACCCACAATATTGTAACCTCTGTTTTAAATTTTTTTACATGAATCTGCTTTTTAAATACTAAACATTTTTTTATCTACTGCTAAATTCCATTATCAATAATTGGAAAATGTATTGCACTATGCTACTTCATTCATAGCATTCGATACAGTATTTATGATGTATAAAAAATGGAATAATTTTTTCTGTGAAAGTGAGAGATCCAGAGTCGCGCAGTTATGTGATTTTTTACTCTGATTTCGACATTAAAAAAAAATAAATTGCACAAATATAATTAAAGTTTTATGTTTATTCAATGAGACCCAATTCACGAAGATGCTCTGGAATAACTATATATGGATCTTCGTAATACCAGAGGGTGGAACAAGAATATTTGTTATAATGTCACGACATAGATTTTCGTGTTTGTTTAAGCACCATGTTTTGGCATGCTTTATGCTATTAAAACTCGCAAGCCATTATGTCCTTTATTACACATCCATTGCATTAGAGCATCAAGGTTTCTATATTCGGTAGAGAGACATGCACCACCTCTTTTGTCCGCGATCTCCTTGCAAGCTCCAAGACCACAAGAAGTGATACCAGCACATTGTGCACACCATCTGCTTTTATCTTTTATTCGAGTAAGGGGAGCATACCACTCATGACCTTTGGCACAGCTCCAAAGCATTGGTGTGTTTGCATTGTCATATTTTGTAGAAAGGCATTTTCCACCACGTTCTTGTGCAATATTTTTTGCTATATTAATGCTAATATATGGACGATATGAACCACCTGGACACCGTCGGCACCAAGTTCCTTTTATAATATCTTTTGGCGAAGCTTTCCATTTATGTCCTTGATTACATTGCCATTCAAGAGGATTCTCTCTATTAATATACTGTAAATGAGTGAAAGGTAATTGCCTCCTCTATTTACTGCGAGACTTTTCACACACCATGGGCACCATGTCTTTTGGTTTTTTATGATTTAGATCTGCAGACCATTTATGAAGCATCGGGGACTTGCTATTAATCTATTTTTCAGATAGACACTCACCTTCTCGACTTTGTGCAATCTCTTTAGCAGTATTTAGTTTGGATATCATTTGTATCTAAATTTTTTCTCTTTTTAAATAACCATTTTCCTCCCTCGCAAAGCTCTTACTTTATTTTTATGGGGGCGAGATCGTCAGATTATTATTGTCTATTAGCGAGGAGAGGAAGACCAGACAAGCTCCCGAAGTTTAAAATACCAAGCTAATAGGCAAGAAGTAATCTGCTTGTATATCCACCTCCAGACCTTTATATACACGCTTATAAGTCTTTGACTCTATGCTCCGTATATTATTGTAATCGAGTAAGGTCTAATAATTTATTTTTTTTTTAGCATAAGACGCAGATAAAGACTCGTAAATCTATATTCGATCGAGATGGACTTCGACGCAGAGAATCTTAAATCGACTAATATATCGCAGTCCGTCACATTAATCAGCTTAAACAGATTAAAAAAAAAATAGATTAATACAATATCCATATATTAATTTTGATTCTTATTAATATATATTGGTATAAATAATAGTAAGAAAAATAATTATAACTCTTTTCACTAATCCTCTAATCACATATAAAAAAGATGTTCACAAGAAGTTTTTATATTTCCTTGCTAATAAAATCTTAATACTTTTCTTAAAACAACTTGAAATATGACTTCAAGAGTTATTTCTACTTTTTCATTATTGTCTACAAATCTCTGAACACAAAAATTTAACTTTTAATAATCAAGAAAAGTCAAGTAACACCTTTAATACCAATGACAAGAAAGTTTTCAAAGGAAGAAGAACTGACTGCGAAGTACCTAAAAGCCTTTCTAACATTTGAAGTGAGAAGTTTATAGAGGTTTTCTGTAGTAAAAATGTTTATTTTCTCCTTTTTTGACTGTATTGGCTCTCTTAGAGTTTCCACTTTCATGATTTTCTGAGAAATTTTGCTTACTTCAGTTTAACCATGAATTTTGAGTAGTACAAATCCTTACCAAAGGTGATTGACTGACAAAACACATTAGTCTTTGGAATATAAACAAGCTCTTATTTGATTATATTCATGTGTCTTAACATATTATTGATGATATAGAAAAGAAAGTTCTAAAAAAAGTGTTCTTCTCAATTGTATATATTTAATCTCTAGGAAACAATTATGATATCAAAAGACAAGTAATAGATAAAAAAAAAGATCCAAATTCCATTTTTCATTAAGTTCTTAAGGTAATAAAAAGACATTCTTGAACAAAAATTGAGATCTTCAAATTTCTATCACAGTTAGGCAAACTTTCTCATAATATGTATTGGATTTAGAAATATTAAATAAATCTATATATAAATAGAAGAATAAGTTTCTTAAACATTCTTTTTGAAATTATTTTCAGGAATAGTTAAGTTACTCAAACATCATGAAACTTAAAGAATATTCCAATTAAGTAAATTCCTTTCAAGAGAAAACTATGAAATGAAATAAGAATCTTTTGAAGAACTTTAAATTATATATTTTTTTTCCTCTTCTAGTATCATACTTTAACAATTTATTATTTTTTGAAATAATCAATAGTAACAAACTGTTGACAATGATCTTAATAGTTAAAGTTTTTAATCAAACTACTAGATAAGTATAATATTTAAATCTGACTTAGAGTACCTAGTTTAAACTTAATTTTGTTTAATTTAAACTAGCTTAGTGAACTTCTCATATTTTTTAAACAATATAATCCTTCAATTAATAATATATAATAATGAATTAATCACTTTATAAAAGTTTATAAATATTGTGATATCTTTTAATATCCCAATAAAGATATATCATCATAATATGATTTTTTTTTTTTTTTAACTCGCTGTCAGGTTAGTTATGTGTGCTTTATTAAACATAATATAGGCTATACTATTTACAGTGTCGCTAAAGCTAGAACACTAACTAACTCACTTGTCTTAGTTTATTATTAAACTCTAAATGCAACTTTGGAAGTGATTTGTCACTCCGTTTATAGTTTGGGTAAAAACCCTTCTACTATAAACATCATTGCCTGCAGTCACTACTGCAGATCACAGGTCAAAGTTCTAAAACCCAACCATTTCATCCCACTTTTGACCCCCATCATTATTATTCTTGTTAAACTTTTTCCCGGATATTCTTTTTCTGTTTTCTTTCTTTCTTCTTTTGGTTTTCTTGTTTTTTTTATTGAATAAAACTTTATAGATCATCTTATTTTATCTTTTCAAAAAATACCTCAAGCTTTTTCCTATTTTATTACTTGTTCACATCATTTGTTTCACACTTCTTTCTTGAAGTAATTCAATGTCTTCTTTTGGCAACGGAGTATCCATTTTTTGGCCACCATTCCTATCTTTTTTTCTCCACATTCAAGTTCCCCTACTTTTCTTAATAGATCTCTTTTGATCAATCCTGAGAAAAAACTGATTGAGTCTTGACTGTCTATGGATACTTTTTCAGTAAGCTTTATTGCCCAGGCTTCTATTTCTCTTATTTCTTTTCTATCTACTGTTGGAGTATTGCTGTCATCTTTTTGAGCTTGATTTTTTCGCTTCTGTCTTTCTTTCTTGAATTCTTGACACATTATC